GATAATTCATGGTCGATTAGGCTCTGCCGCCGCGTGGTCTTAGTGTTTAATCTAACGATGACTGATGGACAGCTGGCTGATTCGTTATTTGTGGCATGTTCTACCACATACACGAAGGATATTTTTCTAAGTGTCTGCAGGTCTTTAGAAATTCGATGTTCGCCGCCGGAGAGGTGGTATACAGAGTCTGAATCCACAATAGTTTGTACTTGTGCAAGGCATCGAATCCATTTCTTCTGGAAAAACGAAGACAACTCCAGCAGTTCAGTTTTGGTTGATACCTCTTGGTTCGAACCTTGAGGATGTGGCGCTGCCAGTGCTGCTGAAAATCGTTCATATGTCTCTTATTGAGTTTCAGCAGAGGGCCGTTTCTGGGCCGTCCAGAAAGAGCAAAATCGCAGATGATGTGACGACCATTTTTTCACTAACTTGATGTTCTGATGATGTCAATAGATACTCTTTAAGCTTCCACATATGGTCTTTCTACAGTAGTCCTTTTATTCCCCTCAGTGATGCAACGACCGCCGTCATTGGGGGGGGGGGTATTAATAACCGTAATCTTTTCATGATCTTTCCCAGTGCAAATAAAGATCGGTGTCGCCCGTTCATTCTGCTTTGCTCATCACGTTCGTCTGTTTTTTGATTGAGTCAAAAGCCGATTCCTTCAGGGTTTTTCACTATTTTTGTTATTACTCATAGTTATCATCTGGAATCGCTGAGCAGTATGATGTTATGATGATGTCTGCGTATTTGAGGTCTCCATGTGGGCTATGGCTGAGTACCTTGAGCTCTACCTTGGCTTCACACCAGTCCTTCTCCACTGAGATTGTTCACGCGTTTTATCATCGTTAAGCGATCAGAAGATCGAAGTTCAACGACGACAGGACGCTACCTTTTCGACCCTGCTTCTGATTTCAAACTAGTACTGATTCGACATACGGAGTTACAGCTTAAACTGAAATAATTACTGTAGCCATGAACTCTCGAGTTACGAACTCTAATCATAGATGATGCCTTGAGGTTAGTCCAAGAAATTTCTCACGGTCATAAATTGCAGTTTGTTGAGGTATTTCGTTTATAGACATAGCGGCGATAGGGAGGC